CTTAATGTTGAACAGTCTTAGAAGCACTGCCTCTCATTTCAAATAGAAGAGCCTTCAATCTGTTCTGACTATGCTTTTAACAGTGTCAGCAGGTTGCTGTTTAAAGCCTCTAATAATCAAACACCTGGGCAGATGTTTCACAGAATAATAGTGTTCTCAGCACAGTGGATTTTGTTCTTGGCTAGACATGCATTTCACTATATCATAAGTCTCTCTTTGCTTTTAAATGGTCAGTTGCACATTAAAAAACACTTGAAATCTTATTTCCTGTTGTTAGTAAGGATGATGATGAATGTCATTTTGGGGCCAGGGTCAATGTCATCATATGTCTGAGGTTAGTATCTCTGTATTAGCATGCCACTGCCGGTTCTGATTCCTGTCCAAGATAAGTAATAATAAAACTCTAGTCTCCTGCACAGCCTGCTCTGCATGAATTACTCTTTCTCTATTGCAATTCCCCTGTCCTGATGAATCAGCTCAGTCTAGGCAGCAGGCAAGATGAACCCCTTGGGTGGTTACAATTTTTCTGATTATCCAGCTTTCTCTTTTGGATCTCCACTACCTGAGTTTTTCTCACAATTGTGTGAAGTCTAATTCCCATGATAACTCCCTTATCCCATCTCTATAATGGTTCCGCTTCCCTTATTGAATACTGAGTAATAAGAAATTAGTACCTGAAACTGGGTGCTATCATAACAGAAACTAAACCATGAGGCTTTGGATTAAGGAGTGAGCATCAATAATTTTTATAGAAAATTCAAAAGTTTTAAAGGGAACTTTACTACAAAACATACCATGTAGTTGAACCCAATAGGACAGAGGCTGTTCAAATTAAAAAGAAGGTTTTGAGCCCCAATTTCACATAAGCAGGAAGCAGGCTGAGACAGTTGCTCAGATGAAAAGATAGGTCACTTTTTTAGGGAAAAGGACAGATATCTCAGAGGAAAGTGCTAAGACTCCAGAGCTGAGAACAATGGATTAAGGAATTACTCCCATAGAGCAGAATTAGTGTCGAATCAAGAAACAGTCTTTGTTTCTGATGAAGTTGGGAGCCCCAAAACATGTTCCCAGCTGTATTTTGGTTTATTTCCTTTGTCCTTTTCTCTTTTCTTTTTCCTTCCTCCTTTAGTTTGCCTACCTGCAATTTTGGAATTGCTATGAACTCACGACTGTGATTCCCATTTCCCCTTTTCTTTGCACAGAAGTGTCTCTTGCAGTTGTTACCTTACAGTTTTGCTATAACTGATAAAAATATAAGTTATCTGACCTTTAAATAGACGTTGTTTATTTAAAGATCAGATAACTTATATTTTTAAGTACAAAGTTCTTTAGACTAAAAGGATTTCCATCCGATGAGCCTCATCCATATCTGTGCTTAGCTTAAATCGTAAGTTCTTGCATTTTGAGCCAGAGTCAAATGATAATGTTATTAGATAAGACTTTGGTGATCTTACGTGGAGATTAATACATTGTGCATATGGGAGGAATGTGAATTTTGGCCAGGAAACAATTTCTCCTAAGCCCAGGTATGCATGCCACTTCTCTCATGAAGACGTAAAGTCTGTGTCCCTCTTTTTGAACCTAGGCTGGCTTTATGACCTTTGTAAATCAATAGAATGCAGAAGAAATGGTGCAGTGCCACTTTTGGACCTAGTTCTTAGTAAGCCTAAAAGCTTTCATTTTTGCTTTCTTGGGGCACTTGTAAATAGCAGTGAATCCATATGGGTTTGAAGCAACTTTATTTCTTGCATCTTCAGCAGAAAGAATTAGACTGAGGGACATAAAGCATAGTGAGAGACTGACGCAAGTTTTAGAACAGGAGGGAAAGTTTATTAAAAAGCTTTAGAGCAGGAACAAAAGGAAAGTCAATCACACTTTTGGAAGAGGGTTGAGTGACTAAGTGATCAAGTGAGTGTTTGGCCTTTGAATTAGGGTTTTACTGGGGTCTGTGTTACTTCTCCCTTGATTCTTTTTTTTGGGGTGGGCTGTCTCCATGTGCAGTGGCCTAGGAGTGCTTAGGAGGGGCCACACAGTGTGTTTATTGAAGTCGTGCATGTGCTCACTTGAGGTGTTTTCCCCTTACCAGTCCAGTGTTCCTACAGGGAGGTCACATATCAGTTAAACGCTTCCATTTTGCCCCTTAGTGGGCTTGTGCCACAGAAATCTTGGGGATTCCAGTTCCTGCAAAGCCCCTGGTGGAAAGCAGCTTCATAAGTGACCCCAGCCCATGCTATCTGGAGCAGAAAAACAGCCCAGTTGACCCCAGCCAACTCACAGAATGATAAGAAATAATAAATTGCTACTGTTTTAAGCCACTGTATTAGTCCATTTTCACACTGATATAAACAATTACCTGAGACTGGGTAATTTATAAAGAAAAGAGATTTAATTGACTCAGAGTTTTACATGGGTGGAGAGGCCTCAGAAAATTTAAAATTATGGCAGCAGGCCAAAAAGAAGCAAACACCTTCACAGGCAGCATAAGAGAGAGAGTGAGAGTGAGGGGGGAAGTACTACACTTTAAAACCATCAGCTCGGAGAGAGATCCAAGATGGCTGATCACTAACAGCTCAGGATTGTAGCTCCCAGTGAAAGCTCAGAGAACGACAGGACACCACACTTTCAGACGAATTTTCATCACTCACGGACCAGCAGATTTCTAGTAGAGGAGACCCACGGGTTGCCAGTGTGACTCTTGTGGCCGGTGCAGCGGTTTTGCCGGGGCCTTGGCAAAACCATCATGAGAACAGTATGGAGGAACCTGCCCCCATGATTTAATCACATCCCACCTCCTCTCTCCCTTTTCATATGGGGATTACAATTTGAGAAGAGATTTGAGTGGGGACACAGAGCCAAACCATCCCATTTTACTTCTGGCCCCTCCCAAATCTCATGTTCTCACATTTCAAAACACAATTATGCCTTCCCAGAGTCCCCCAAAGACTTAACTCATTCCAATCTTAACCCAAAACCCAAAGTGTCACCTGAGACAAGGCAAGTCCCTTCTGCCTACAAGCCTGTAGAATCAAAATAAAGTTAGTTGCTTCCAAGATACAATGGGGGTACAGGCATTGGGTAAATGCTTCCATTCCAAATGGGAGAAATTGACCAAAATAAAAGGGCTACAGGCCCCATGCAAGTCTAGAACTCAACAGGGCAGCAATTAAACCTTATGGCTCCAAAATAATCTCCTTTGACTCCATGTCTCACATCCAGGGCATGCTGATGCAAGAGGTGGGCTTCCAAGGCCATGGGCAGCTCTTCCCTGTGGCTCTGCAGGGTATAACCCCTGTGGCTGCTTTCATGGGCTGGCAGTGAGTTCCTACAGCTTTTCCAGGTGCACAGTGCAAGCTCTTGGTGGATCTATCATTCTGGTGTTGGAAGATGGTGGCCCTCTTCTCACAACTCTACTAGGCAGTGCCCCAGTGAGGACTTTGTGTGGGGGCTCCAACCCCACATTTTCCCTCTGCACTGCCCTAGCAGAGATTCTCCATGAGGGGTTTGCCCCTGCCACAGACTTCTGTCTGGACATCCAGGCCTTTCCTTATATCCTCTGGAATATAAGCAGAGGCTACCAAGCCTCAACTTCTGACCTCTGTGCACCCACAGGCCTAACACCACATGGAAGCCACTAAGGCTTGGGACTTGCACCCTCTGAAGCAACAGGCCCAAGCTGTACCTTGGCCCCTTTTAGCCAGAGCTGAAGCTGGAGCAGCTAGGAAACAGGGTGCCAAGTCCCAGAACTGCACAGAGCAGCAGCTGGGGCTTTGATCCGGCCTATGAAACCATTTATTCCTCTGAGGCCTCCAGGCCTGTGAAGAAAAAGGCTGCCAAGAAGATCTCTAACATGCCCTGGAGATGTTTTCCTCATTATCTTGGCTATTAACATTAGGCTCCTAGTTGCTTATGCAAATTTCAGCAGTATTGGTTTTAATTTCTTTCCAGAAAATGGTTTTTTCTATTTTATCATATGGTCAGGCTGCAAATTTTCCAAACTTTTACTCTGCTTCTCTTTTTAAACAAAAATTTCAATTTCATACCATCTCCTTATGAATGCATATGACTGTATCCTTCCAGAAAAAGCCAGGTCACATCTTGAATGCTTTGCTGCTTAGAAATTTCTTCTGCCAGATACCCTAAATCATCTCTCTCAAATTCAGAGTTCCACAGATCTCTAGGGCAAGGGCAAAATTCCACCAATCTCTTTGCCAAAGCACAGCAAGAATGACCTTTGCTCCAGTTTCCAATAAGTTCCTCATCTCCATCTGAGACCACCTTAGCCTGGACTTCATTGTCCATATCACTATAAGTATTTTGGTCTAAACCATTCAACAGGTCTCTAGGAAGTTCCAAATTTTTCCATATCTTCCTGTCTTCTGAGCCTTCCAAACTGTTCCAACCTCTGCCTATTACCCAGTTTCAAAGTTGTGTCCACATTTTTAGATATCTTTATAAAAATGCCTGACTTCTCTCAGTATCAATTTCCTGTATTAATCCATTTTTACACTGCAGTAAAGAACTATGAGACTGGGTAATTTATAAAGAAAACAGATTTAATTGACTCACAGGTCTCCATGGCTGGAGAGGCCTCAGGAAGCTTAGAATTATGGCAGAAGGCAAAGGAGTAGCAAGCACATTCTTCACAAGATTGCAGGAGAGACTGAGAGTGAGAATGAGGGAGGAAGCACCATACTTTAAAACTATCAGCTCTTGTGAAAACTCACTGTCATGAGACTAGCATGGGGGGAACTGCACCCATGATCCACTCACTCCCCACCAAGTCTCTCCCTTGACACGTGGGGATTACAATTGGAGATGAGATTTGAGTGGGAACACAGAGCCAAAGTATATCAGCCACTAATCTGGGGATAGTGTTTTATATGGAAATTGATAATTGGAAGACTTGCAAATAAATGAATGAAAGAGTAAAATAATTAGAACAAATGTCTCTATAACTGGGGGCAGATCTTATTACTGGATGTGTTACTTTTCCTTCCCAGCTAGTACCTCTTGTGAAGCTTTACACCTGAAATTGCCTGTGGACACCAAGGTGCTTTGGAAAAGTTCTTCACCTTTGCATGTGTCAAGAGAAAAGTAAGAGAGAAAAAAAAGAGTGTTGCTGGTGTGCCCCCAAAGGTTTAGATCCAGATGATTTGCTTTTCTTTTGTTTAATTCTTTTCAGAATAGTATCATGCCCATTGTTATTATTTTTTTTGAAGCCCTCATTTCTAAAAATTATTGAAGTAATTGAAAAAAAAAAAATAAGGTAGGGAAACCTAAACCCTTAAAAGGAAAGACATGGAAAGTACAACTTTTATACTGTGGGGGAGAAAATAACTTCTGAGACAATAAATAGCTAAAACCAATTCAAAGAATCCAATACATTAAAACTACCAAAATGTCATCGATGGTTTTCATGTCAGTGCTAAGTGAATAAACTTTTTGAAAAGTATGGAATAGAAGGAAAGTGATAAAAAAAAGTTTACTTCAAAATAGAAGATCAGCTATACTCTAGCTGAGGATTTTACATTTGAAACTGGTTGTTTGGTGTCTTAGTACCTCAGTGACTCTGGAGTATGTAAATGATAGACATAAGGAAATGGTGAGGAGGGGAACAGATAGACTTTATAGATACTACTAAAAAAGCAATAATGAGGAATGACTTAACAAAATTCAAAGGTTTCAGATCATTTGAGAGCCTGAAACAGCAGATGGCAAATATAGTTCAATTCAGACAAACATTAAAAAAGATGCGTAGCAATAGAGAACTACAAACGAGGGCTGTGGAAACACATTTCAATGGACTAATCACCCAGCACGCCAACCAGAAAATATTTGAAAACTTTTAAGTATCAGCTTAGTGCAAAGAAACTGTCTTCTAAGATGAAGGGCAGAATAAAAAGTGTTTTAAGTTTCTAGTCTTAACTCATGGGGGAGGGGAAGGAGTGGGGATAAGACAAAAATACTTAGAAGTAGGAAAAGATAATGATACTTTATGAAGCATGAGACTCTTAGTCACAAACTGCAAGAGATTTAATTTCCTCTACGGAAATAAAAAAGCATTTTGGTAGGTGTGTTAACTTATTTAATAGGGTACATTTTAGTACCTTATGTAAGATAGCATCTAAATATAGCCAGGGGATTTTTTCCCAAGTGGAAATAGATTGCGTAGTCTATAAACTACCAGTTGTTTACACAGATAGTCTAGGGGCAAGGAGGATTCCTACATATTTATATGGCTGAGTTGGCTGGAATATTTTCCCCTTAATATAAGTACCTTCTTACAAGTGGTTTTGTATTGAGGTAGTCACTTCTCACAGAAGAAGCTCAAGTGGAATCTTGAAATCTTCATCCCCACTCTGTTAATAACAAAAATCTCATTAGGCTCTTTTTCCAAAATTTATGCAGGATACCCAAACTGATTCCTTTAACTATGGCATCTTTAATATGTTGCTATGTTGACGATCCGAAAGAGATGAAGTAGGCATTCAGGGGAAGCTAAGTGCTCAATCTGGTTGGGAAACCCTATGTATTTGGAGTTAAGTACAGAGCTCCTGGAGAGCCAAGAAATAATCTTTATTCTCCAGTTCACTCCAGGTTCTTCTGCAATTCCAGCAATATATGGCTAAATATTATTTTTACTCTCAACAAATATTTTGGAAGAAAATGGTGCAAGCTCTTGCTGTTATCCTTCTTTAAAGATAATTTTGACACGGGTAAGAATATTAGTTATGTGTTCCTGAATTAACATATGATGTCATAGTTCATTTGTGTCTGGTGTTTTGGGACTTAATCTAAAACTGTCCTATAAGGAGTGTCTAGAATTAAGACACTGAGTGGGAAGATAGATACAAATATGTCCATAGAAATAAGGACTTTAAGCCAGAAAACTCTTAAATGAAGGTCTCTAGGAATATCTCTCCAGATATTTAAAAATACAGTGGTCACCAAAATATGCTATAAATGTTTAAAATGAACTATCTAAAGTTCAGAGGTTAGAGATGATGGTGTTTATGGTACTCTTCAAAATTGATTCTTTTTTATTTTTTAGTTTTGTTGAGAGTTTAAATTGCTGCTATAATTATTTTGAAGTTAAGAAGATAAGAGGATTGACTTTTTAAACTTCAAAACAAACTTCCCTGCTGTGACTGACTATATTTTCCAGTATGGAGAATTGTAAATTTTCACAATGAAATCGTAAACTTTTAGTGTACTTTTACTCTCTGCTTTATGCCTCATCCATCTGCCATATAGGAGCATCTAGTTGGTGCACTGATAATAGCTTCTATGATTACCAGCTACAGTTTTAAACTTATTTCTGATAACATAGAAACTGAAACAATAAATATGTTTTAAAATATATTCTTATTTAATAAAAAATAAAAATGATCAACGACAAAAAATCTAATTTTAGAATCTTTAAGATACATTTGGGATTACTAGCTAGAGATTATCTACTTAATTTAAAAAATAAAGTTAGCTGAAAATTTTTTAGTAAATTTATCTTTCCTTCAGTTGGCATATAAGGACATGTAAACATTTCTTTCCCAATTAAAAAAGACCATCTTTTTGACCTCACTAAACTTTTCCCCATTTTAAAAGACCATGATTTTGATTTTCCTAAAAGCAGGGTTTCCGTCATTTATTTTTTAAGTCTCTGTACCCATCTCCGGGCTTACAAATGGTAAGCTAGCAAATATTTGTAGAAGAAATATATGAATCACAATGTACTACTTTCTAATTGTTTCAAATAATGGGATCAAATTAAAAATACATGCCAACTAGAAATTAAACTCACCAAAAATTTTATTTTGCTAAAATTTTATGTATAGTCCACTCAAATATAGATGAAATAGAGTGAAATATACATAAAATTTTCGATATAGATGAAAAGAGAGAGAAAGGGTCACAAAAAATCAGAAAATGTTAGGCAGCTCCATTTTTGACAAGATCAAGAGTCACTGAACTCAGAGAGTAACAGGAAGTTATATTTAGAAGTAGACTTAAAATATGACAGTTCATGACATGATATTTATTAAGGATCACACTTCACATATGGGAGTTGACTTTTTGCTCTAGTATGGCTTGCCTTACACTTCTTTTATATAGAACAAACAAAAGTGCTTTTGTACATGACATTGTGGCAGGGATTCTCAATTCAGTCCTCTGATCTATTTATAACAAAGTTTTTCTACTGCATAAGTTACTATTTCAATATTAATAAAGACTAAACATAAAATTGATATCCACAGTGTATTGTTTCTAAAATCTTATTCTTGATTTTGTTTTATACTTTGACCATACCCCTAGCACTCACTTAATACTATTTTTACGGATGACTGTCTTGAGTTCAGGCTGCTATAGTAAAGTATTATAGACTGAGTGGTTTACAAACAGCAGAAATTTACTTCTCACAGTTCTGGAGGTGAAAGTTCAGTATCATGGTCCAGCATGGTCAGGTTCTGGTGAGTGCTCTCTTCTCGACCTCAGACTGATGACTTCTCGTTGTGTTCTCACATGGTGGAAAGAGTGAAGAGAGCTCCCTAGGTTCTGTTTCGTAAGGGAACTAATCTCGTTTATGAGGACTCCATCTTCACGACTTAATTCCCTCCCCAAGGCTTCACCTCCAGATACCATCACCTGGGATTAGGGTGAATTCTGGGGGTATACAAACATTCAGTTCATTGCAACCAACATCTTCATGTTCTTCTTGCCTGAGGGTAGAAACAGAAAGATGCCCAACAAAATAACTTATCCTACTTTTTCATAGTAAATTTGTTGTTGGACATGTAGCTGCCCAGCTCGAGACAACATTTCTCAGACTCTCTTCCAGCTAGATGTGGTCCTCTGGCTACATTTTCACTAATGAAATGTGACTAGAGCTGAAAATGACACTTCCAGCTATAGGTCTTAAAAATATTAGGTAAGCAAGTTTTTTTATACTTTCCCTTTCCTGTGAACTGCATGGCCATTTCTGGGATTTAGCTATGGCCATACAGATGAGAACAACAGCCTTGTTGATGGCAGAATCACAATATAAGGAACATGAATCTCTGAATGACTTCATGCGACAGAGCTGTCTGCTTACCTGGACTGCTACTTACACCTGTAAGACAAGCTAGAATTTGAGCCATATTTGTTTAACCTCTATACTTTGGATGGTTTTATTATAGCAGCTCAGTCTTCATCCTAACTAATCAGTTGGACCCAGCAAAAGTTTAAACTCACTGTAGTCCAGAATGAAATCAAACTCATTATTTTAGATACAGGCACTTTTCTTTCCAAAATAAAAATCAATAGATTTACTTTTATCTATTAATGAGTGCATCACAGTAAAGGTATAATGTTCATTTAAGCAGTGGCCACCTAAATAATATTTAGTTTGTAGTGACTATTGAATAGAATTTCAGCCTATGCTGAAGTGAAAGTAGTTAGGTTATTTAACAATGATCAGGTCCTGTGTATAAACAGGTTCCATCTTGTAAGATATTGAGAGTTCCAACATTACCCAGCGCTGCTCTCCAACTGAGTATTGTTCTCCGACAGTGAGAGTGAAAACCAAAAAAAGACTTGGTACTTTTCATGGCCTTTACTTCATTTGTCCTAGAAGCTCCAGATGATTGATGATCTTCTCAATCTCGACATTATCTATCAATTCTGTTTTGCTTTAGGTAGTTATATGAGTTATCATCTGCCTGACTTTAAGGAGACAGGTACAAAGTTCAGCTAATAGTGTATGCATTCATTTAACAGCTGTGTGATACAGGAATGCATGAACAGATATTTACTGACTGAGTTCATCATGACTTAGGAATTACTCTTTTAGCTAGAGCTTCAGCAATGAATCAAAGAGACAAGGTTTCTTCCTTGGTAGAACTTGTATTTCAGTTGGCATAGAGAAAAACATGTACAAGTAAACAAACAAGTCAATAAATAAGGAATACTTAGTTACTGATAAATAATATAAAAAAAATAAAAGCAGGATGATAAATTAGAGAGTGACTCAATGGAGAGAAACAATCTTAGAAAGGGTGCCCCCAAATTCTCTCCTGAGAAAGTCATATGCAGCCACGTCCTGAGTAACAGAGAAACGGCAGACATTGGAAAGCTGAGTGAAGAGTGTTTTAGGCAGACCCCTCTGGCAACGTGGTCAAGTCCATAGAAATCTTTACATTCATTTTTGGATGCCACATATATGCTATTTACCTAATGAACATTTAATAATAAATGACATGCTAATGATATAAAATAAGAATCAAGGGAATTGATATTTCTGTAGAGAACACAAACTGAAATATTCAGACCTCTATCTTCGCTTGGCTTTGTGAATCAGGTATGCAATTGCCCTAACTTCTGGAGAAGGGTTATCATCTAAAATGGATTCCAACAAGGGGTCTTGTTTACTATAATACTTTATATGACTTATATTATTTTTAGTGGGAAAATGTAGGTCCCATTAAGTATAATGTTGTGTTTGGCAGGTATCATTAGGAAGTAATTGGCTTTGGCTAGTCAAATCTCATGAATTGTTGTGACTTTACTTCTAATCGAGGTAAAAATCGCTGGAATAATTAAATAATAAAAAGTTGAAGAGGTCTGATGTTTTGATGTGCAATCGAACAGACATAAATAGAATTAAATAATATAGACAGCTACTTAACAAAAGGGGGAAAATCGGAAGTCACTGAAGAAAATCACTGAAAAAATACTGGAAACACACAAACTGTTTCTCTGTAAAAATTTCCAAACACCTGAACTTTAGCTCTTCTGAGGATAAACTTATTAAAATATCACAAGAAATGGAATCAGTATCTTGTAGAAACTAGTAAGGACAATTTCACTGCTGAGTAGAGTATCTGTGACCTGGAAAACAATATAAGGATTACAAAAATGACTCTCAACAGTTCTTTTAATAAGTTCCGATAAATTGGAAATCAAGTATGCAATATGGCACTTACTTTACCTCTATATCCTGTCTGCAGTGCATGAAAATATCAAAATGATATTCGCAATAACACAACGTGGCCAATCTATGAAATTTAATGTCCCAAAGATTCAGCGTGTCTGAACAAGACTACAACGAAGAAAAAGTTACTATAATTATGAAACTTATGACCATTAAGTTACTTACGTTGTATACATTTGCTGCATCTTTTTTGTAAACCTTTAAATAAGCAATCTAAGAAAATAATTTTCTGGGAAATGACTGAATAACCAAAGATAAGAAATTAAAATGAATTATTTGGCAGCCACTGTAAAGTAACATCAGATTCAATTTTACTATTGAAATTGCCTCTGTATTGTGAGCAGTTAGAAAACACGTTCTGAAATGATCAACATCTATTTCCAAAATTGTAGTTGTGGATAATATGCATAGTTACAAATGATCGTGGACTTCCTTCCAAGAATCAATTCAAGGAGAGGAATTCAGACAAATAGGTGCCTTTTAATAAGTCAAGTTCCAGCTGTGAACTTCAAGGCAATCATAAGAGATAAACATAAAGAGTCCAGGCATAATACAAAATAAATAAGTCCTATAAACCTAGAAATTTGCAGGGTTCTAAATCTTTAAGAATCCCCAGGATGTTCGCAAATGCATTTGGAGGGCAGGACTTTCAGAGCTAACATAAAATCTGACTCATTATCTTTCTGTAGTTTAGTATTTCCTCTTATGAGAATTCTAAATAGAGGGTAGCTAGAATAGCTGAATTAATCTAAACTTCTTTTCCATCAAAAGTTCGTTACAAGCGCCCTTGGCTCTGTTCTCATCTCCTTCGTGCCTGCACATCTCTCCTGCATGACTTCAAAGAGAACCCTCCACACAGGAGACAGGAAAGAGAGGCTGGGGGATGAGAACCGGGCCACCTCTGTTAAAAGAGAGGCTTAATTAAGTACATATTTGAACAGTGCCTTTCACATGAAAAAGCAGTAAGAAAACTCAGTATTATTAACACTGAACAAGAAGTCCCTGGTCCTGGGAGCAAAGCCTTACCGAGATTAAGGAAAAAGTTTATATTCTCCTCCTCCAGGCTAGCATTTTTCAGTGGGGCTCTTTATTGATCTGTCATCCTAAGAGAGTCTGTAAATCTAGCATCTGCATATTGATTCCTAGTTGGTTTGAAAGAACAGGAGGCAGAGAGTAAAAGACACATCTTTCTCAAGTCAGAGTAAAACTGCAGCAGGCATGCTTGCAAATTGTGCCCTTATTTCTCTGCAAAAGGACTTATAATGCGTGTAGAATTTGGAGGCAAACAGTTTTTGTGTGCGTAGTGAGAGGATCTTTACCTTCATTCGTTACTTAGAAATTTAGCTGGCATGCTTTATTATTAAAATGATCAACATTATTGTAACAGCATGTACAAATTGGAAGTGTAGACTGAGGCATATTTCCACAGATATAAAGTCCAGAAGGGAGATGCCAGGCCAAAAAACAAATCCTCTGAGAAAAATAATTGGCTAGAAGTCTCTAATTTCCATAATGAAAGGACTGAGAAAGAAAGTAAAGTAAGAAGAATATATTTGTGAGAAATTTCCTTGAAGGGAGCTGGTACAGGGCTCTAAATCTCACTACCCCTCCCAAGGGTGAGGAGTGGGAGTCCATCCTCCTCTACCTGAAACTTAGAAAGCTTCATTGGGAGTATTTGGAAACCTTGAGAAGTGGCTCTGTAATTTAGGGTACTCTGGCCTACTACTAGCTGACAAATGTCCCGACAGTCTTCAGGGTGGCATGTTCAAAAGAAGAATTGTTTGTGTGTATAATAACTGCATTCCCAGTAGTAACAGAACAAAAACTCATTTGCATTTCCTGTATACCAGATGTAGATGACAAGGGTGGGAGTGCATTCTAGAGCCATTGGCAATCATGCTTGGTGGGACTTCCAGCATAGGCTATAGTGCTAACTGCTAGAGTCTGTGTTTAAGAGGACACCAGAGGAGTTAGAACTAAGGAAGAAGTAGACATCTCAAGGAAAGGGACTGAACAAGCAGTCACAGATGTTGTAGCCAGGGAAGGTTAGTTTCCAAGGTCTGCAAAAGCTTTGAACATCTGCCAGGCCAAGTTCATATACGACCACCTAGTGATAACACCTATCCAAGTAAAAACTCCCTGTCTGCCTTTGGCCTCCACTCCTTTTAATTTGCATGAACAGATGAGTAGAGGAGGAGACGAGTTAGACAGAATGACCTATTCCCTCCAACCTCTACCCCTGCAATTGCTAGTCTACAGTCAGGCTCTGAATGAAAATGGGGAAAGTTCAAGGTTGTATTTTTGATGACGGAGGATTGAACAGTGTAATATCTGAAACAAGACTGTACTTGTGACATGAACTGAATAAGAAAGTTCAATTACCTTAAACCAACAAAAGGATCATGAAACCGTCAGATGTTTCATACAGCATCGGAGAACTACCTGCAATAGAAACAATAAGGCAAAGTGGGTCAAAAAAAAATAGAGTTTTGTCTTCAGTTTACCCTCTTTATTAAAGAGCAGTAAAAAGCCTAAAATCAATTGTTTTTTCAAAAAAAAAAAAAAACTGCAGCTAAGAAGCAGCTGGTTAAAATGGGACATACCTACCATTTTGCTAGATAAAGCAATCACCACTTAACACAAACATTATTAAGTTAAAATACAGATTTCAAACTCAAGGGGATTATAGTTGAACAAAAAATTCCCCGTCTTTCAGCCATATCTTCAAAGATATTAAAGCAAGAATAAGTCTATTTAAAATTGTACCTATAAGGTCAAACGATTATTTAATGTCACTTTTTTTGAGATGGAATTTCACTCTTATTTTCCAGGCTGGAGTGCAATGGCATGATCTTGGCTCATCGCAACCTCTGCCTCCTGGGTTCAAGCGATTCTCTTGCCTCAGCCTCCTGAGTAGCTGGGATGTGAGACCATGCCCGGCTAATTCTGTATTTTTATTAGAGACAGGGGTTTCTGTGTTGGTCAGGGTGATCTCAAACTCCTGATCTCAGGTGATCCACCCACCTCAGCCTCCCAAAGTGCTGGGATTACAGGCATGAGCCAACGTGCCCAGCCCCATACCAATAATTTAAAAATAAATTAAAGCATGGATAAATATTAACGGTGACTTACGCAATTTATGCTAGACAGACAAAAGTTGTTTTTCATCAGAAATGGAAACTTGGCAGGTATATTCTAATGGTTCAAGAAGATGTACAATCCTTATTTGAAAGGTTGATTAGATGGGTCACTCAAAGAAAGGTTCTCAGTCCAGGCATGGTGGCTCATGCCTGTAATCCCAGCACTTTGGGAGGCTGGGTGGGTGGATTACAAGGTCAGTAGTTCATGACCAGCCTGGACAATATGGTGAAACTCGGTCTCTACTAAAAATACAAAAATTAGCCAGGCGTGGTGGCACCCACCTGTAGTGCCAGCTATTCAGGAGGCAGAGGCAGAATTCCTTGAACCCGAAAAGCAGAGGTTGCAGTGAGCCAGAATTGTGCCACTATACTCCAGCCTGGGCTACAGAGCAAGACTCTGTCTCCAAAAATAAAGGCTCTCACTGTTTCTATTTACTTGTCTGAGTCTTCAATGCAGACATGAATAAGAAGGAGGTATCTACTCATGGAAATGTAAATATTTATTAGTTTAGCCATACTATTTGGGTTGTGAATTCCAGTTAGGTAAAATCTCGTTGCCATGATTTGTCAAAAATAGATTTTTTTTCTTTATGACTTGAGTGGATTTTGTTTTCTGAAATCAATTTGGGCAGTAGTACTTCAAGTCCACTAATTAGCTGCCTTGGCCCATTAGAAAACTGAGTTTCTGTCCTCCATTTTAGAAAGCAAAGACTTGGACAGAAGAGGGCATTCTGTATTGGTAGTAAAGAGACAGATAAGGTTGGCGCTACAAAGAACAGTTCCTAAAGACTGGTTCTGAGCAACCTTCAGTTAGTAAATAAAATCTGTGCAAATAGCTATTTGTGAAACTTGTATTATTTTCTTTTTTTTTGAAGCTATTTGCAGGATTGATCCAACGCTTAGAGAAATGACTGACAGATGAATCGGTTTTGAATCTCTCAGTTTCTATTCACACTGTCTAGATCAAACCTTCGTCTTTCAACTGGGTTTTGACAATACCTTCTTTTTCCTAACTCCCCTTACTTCAATGTTGCTCTCATCTAATAAATCCTTCGTTATACTGACAGATTATTTTTAAATGCAAATCTGTTAACATTTTTTGTTGTTGTTGCTTAAAATAAATTGTTAGACTCCCATTTCCTAAAGGCGTGCTTCTCTGCAATTTTTTTCTGCCATGCGAGATAGCTGGTATTCATACAAAGAACAGACAGCATGGACGTATATAGCTTTAGTGTCATTAGCTATTTACTCGGCTTTTTTCTTCCTATTTACTCAAAAAAGCACATTGAAATGCAAAAAAACTGAAAGGGATGTAAGACTAGAACTTGTTTATTAGAAACTGGAATCAAATTTTAACTGACTTCTATTATTAACAAATTATTGACATAATTGTGTATGAAGATACTATAGTTAAAAACCACTGCACTACAAGATCAATCCAAACTACTCAATTTGATATCCATAGTACTAGTCTAACTCATGTTTTGCTCTTTCTTCAATTATATCTGCCTCTGACTGGGAAAGAATACAAATCACGCAGGAAGGGAGAATTTCTTAGGAGGGAAGAACATGTAGAGATGTGAAAAGCCAGAGAGCAACAGGCTTTTGGACTCCACAGTTTACCTAAGGCTGGTTTGGATCCACGAATCCTCTCATATATTCTCTGGGCTATCTTTACCAGGCATTTTTACATTCTTGACAGTCTTTCAGTTTATTACTTTGATAAAACAATAGAATTTAAAGTATGGATCTGTGTTAGTTAAGCCACTGAACTTGTTAGTAACTCAGGAGATTATAGCGCTATAATTTAAATGTCATAGTCATGTACATTTTTTACTGATGTGAACTTTTAGAGGGGCAGAAAGTCACAATCAAATCAGTTATTAATATTGGATTTGATTACCTTATGTATTTTTAATAAAAATATAAAGAATGCTACACCTATGAGATTTATAGAAATAAGATTAATTACTATATCTGCAGGTAGAGTAATTCATTAGACCAGAGAATTGATGAATTACTGTCTCTAAGATAATTTATCCTTGAAAATTCTGTTCTAAGCTGAATGTGTAAAATTTCCCATCCATTTTTATAGCAGAGTACTTTTCTCAGCCATGGATTCAGTAAAACTAGAATATCTTGTGCACAAATGTCTAAGTTATGATAAGGAAAATCTCACGTTCTTAAATTCTACATGCATATTTTTAATATAGGTTTTTCTTTCTAGGTTTAATTTTCTTTCTAAGCCCTCATTTGATAATTATGTGTCACTTTGAGTATACTTTTTGATGAAGTTTTCTGTCTTCCTAGCTAAATGATGGTTCTTTTTAGAGAAGGAAATATGTATTCTATTTCTTTGTCTTCTGAACATATAGCACAGTACCTTGAGGATACTATGGCAAATTTAGTTGAGAGGAAACTAATTTTGAGGGGAAAATTTATTAGATATTTTTTCAAAGTGACAAAACCATTATCAACAAATATTTGGGTGAAAACAGTTTCCTAGGTAATGGCATATGTTTTGTGACACTTGCCCTCAAAGAATTTACAGTTCTTTTACAGAGACAGACCACGTACCCAAGGCTCATTTACAAAAGATCTAAATAAGTGATATTTACGAAAGAATTATGCGAGTGTGAGATATAAATATATATATATATGCATGCATATGTGTGTATGTATGTATATGTGTGTATATATACAAAATTGGAGGAATTCAGAAAAACAGGTGACTACTTAGTGTTAGTGGGGACATTTTAAGGTAGCTGGGTAATATTAACTGATACTTTCTATAATTTTAGTATATAGACTCAGTAGAGTTTTTTGGAAAGATGTCCTACGAAAAGATGATCCTTGTACATCAGGTAAAGACTCAGTTTGAGCTCGTTGTTTGCTCCTGTAAGAAAAGGCTTTGCAGGCACAGGCTCACATGTATGTGAGTGTATCACTAATATTACTTTGAGAACGAAACTCCTCTTCCTTTTTCTGCTGCAAAACCGTACTACTTAATAAGAAATCATGCACATTTTAGAATGGAGTTTCATATTTACAAAAATCTCAAATTAGAATCATGAAAGTACCGTAACAAATTTACTGCTGCTTTTGCTTTGGCAAGTAAAGAAGTTGAAAGGCCAGAAATTGAAGAAAAATAAATAGTGTTAAAGGCCACTATTTATAAAAATTAATGAAAATAAATTATCTCCACGATAATGTACAATATTTCAAGTCTTCACTGTCATGGCTAAGCCTTGTAAGTGAGATAAGAACAAAGGCCTCTGATTTGCAGTTTTGGTTTTACTAAATTCCAAAGGGAAATTAAAGTTCCGAATGCTCTACCCCAAGATTTTGTATCATTTGGATGCCAGTTCTAGTGTGCTTCACTTCCAAACATGCATTCTTTCCACTTCACTGTATTAAAGTTAACCTGGCTACTTATGCATACATGTATATGTATGTGTGTGCACTCACACACACAGGTTTAATTTTCTTCCAGGTTCAGGGAACAATTTTGGCACCAGAGATTTCTCTCAGTTGATCAATACTATGTTAAAAATTACATGATTAAAAATCCTACTTTTTTGCTGCATCTTTGGATTTCTACAGTCATAAATATTATTTATTCATTTATATATTCTGCTAGGTACTGAGGATAAAGAAGACAGTTCCTATACTCTAGGAACTTACTGACAAATTGATGAAAACATGGATGTGAACAAATATACACTACAGGTAATTAAGATGAAATTAGTTTTCAGGTTCAGTGAAGACATAACAAGGATGAGTGGACAATTCATTATATATGAGTTCTAGTAAACTGGAACCTGTTTTCTGAAATCTGTTCTGTGTTTGCTGTAGAGATAAGATAGTCTTATTACAGGGTTCTTTTCATAACTATAGTTTACCAAGTTCTTGGAAGGTGTCCAACACTGACCTCTCAAATGATGAATTTAGCTCTTTTTTTGTGTGCTTTTCTTTAGCCTGTATATAATTCTGTCATAGATGTTAAACATTTTAGTCTTCATTATTTATTTCTTTATATGTTCTAACTTATCTAGACTTGCACTTCCTAAAGCCAGTGTCTTTATTCTCTTTTTAGCTAAATCCTAACACAAAATCAGGCTTATATAAGGCATCCACTACCTACTTAGTAAAGTAAATGAAATAAATATGCAGCATTTGACAGTTCATAGTTTATAAATCCTTTTACAAAATACATGACATATATTTAATAAGTGCATAAGAATATGTATGTACATACACACATATATCTAAGTATACGTATATGTGTGAATGCGTATATAT